ACTTTTTCCAGAGCGCTAGTTTGGAACAGGCAGCATTGAACGGCCTCCACGTTCACCTTATTTACCACTCCTCGATTCCCCTTGATGGAAAACCTGGAACGTAAGACACATTTAGTGTCTTCAGAAGGTTAAAATCCGTCAAATTTATATCTCTTATGTTGGGGGCTTAGATTTACTAGTGCTAAAAGCATCTTACTATAAAGTGATTCCCGTTAATCCTCAGTTTTGACTTGCATAATCTTCTTTTTCCAGTTTTGGTATATGTTGGATCAGTACGGTAACTCTAACCTCAATTCTCCAACGAGTATGCTACCGGATTTCAAATGAATTATGACTCATTTGCAGGGGCATAAGTCCCTGTAGGAGAGATATCTTCTTGAATAATGACAAGGGCGATTTCTAAGAAAATATAGGACTTGAACCTTGTCTCTGTGTCACTTGCTCTAACCTCTACATCCATCTTGGTGGTGGTTTGTAACCACTACAAATTTCTCAGCGACAGTCATGCTGCAATATTGAATTAAATAACTGAGAAACCTGCCAGACAGATTCAGATTCGCTTTGCCAGACACGGTTCATCAGCTCCATATATTGGCTATGAACCAAGTGTGGGTATACCAAAATAAGAGCAGATGCGGACTGGGGTCAATAAGAAACATAAAGAGTACAGAAAAAATACACCCAAAAACACACAAGGAAACAGATTTATAGAGGAATTTTCTGAGTGAACTACTGAACGGCAAAAACACACAAGGAAACAGATTTATAGAGGAATTTTCTGAGTGAACTACTGAACGGCAGAGCGGGGAATGGCTCCGAATAAAAACAGAGCTACTTACATACATTGTCCATTCAGAAGATCCATAATAGGGCAGGGTATTGCCACAGGCAATGTAATTGAGAGATAGACTTTATACGAATGCGAGGCATTGTTTCAAACAAGGGAGCAATTTATACGGAAGAATATGACAAACATCTAAGGAGGGACCTATACAAACCAGTACAGGAAACAGAATTGTTAGAATTGGTGCAGTGGTTTTCGAAGACTTAGAAGAACTGGTCAAGTCAGATGTCTGTCAAGTACCAAAGACTTTGACCGAAATCGTACATAGCTGACAAAACGTCTGTGGTTGTCAAAATGCGTTCCAGTAAAATTCAATCCAGAATAAAAGGAGGAGCAGCACAGCTTATTCTCAAGTGACGAGATTCCGTTTTGGGAAAATTCATATGTAATTTCAGAGTGGCAAAGAATTGCCGTATTTGCAGACCCATTACTTACCAGATAGAAGTATACTTACAACACCCCTCCGGTCTTCAATTAAGGAAAGTTTTGTCAGACGGAATGGCTTGCTTAATATTTCAGACGGCCGTAGACTTTTTCATTAAAGTAAATTGAATTGTGTCCGGACGACGGCAGCGCATTCTTTTCCATAATGCATTGTTATTTTTCTCGGTGGCATTGTGGAAGGCGTTATCTCTATCTGCGATGGTAATCGTCATATTTTAGTCACAATAGTGAGGCGAGCTTCACGCGGAGAGCAGTGGCTGGTCCGCGTTATCGCCGGATCTGCTTGCTCGAAATACGTTTTTAAAATTAACTCTGCGAGTAGGCATCGCGCTCAATGGCTCCCTTCATAGGCTAATGAGTTCTGGACGATTACCGGGCGGGATCCATCCCATTTGTTAGCTGAGTTAGCGACACTGAATAAACGGTTTTGTGCGACGTGAGTGGTTTTCTCGGAAGCGGTGACTCGATTTTTCGTTTTAGTCCGGTGAATGTAGTTTGAGCCGCGAACGATTTGAAAATTGTTTCTTGGAGGATACTTGTAGCTGGTGTTTTCAGATAGTACGTTAATGTATATTAGGAAAGGGGTGGAATCTTAGAATAAACCATCGTACTACTTATGGGAAACTGTTTTTGAGAAAAGAAAGCTGTAGAGATAACAACTAAAATAGCTCTCTCATCATCAGAGTACAATAAACAATTATCACAAAAATAGCAGTCTGGATGATCGCTCAAGATATTATCAAGATGTTTCGAATATCGATTTACAATTTTATCCACGATATTACTGATAGTATTGTATAGCAACTGGACTTTTCCTGCTCTTTCTGGATAGGGGGTTATGTTTTCCAACAGAAAGGAAAACCTCTCTGTATTACAGAGATTATTAAACAGAAGGACCAGAGGTTTTGTTGATCTGTATCTGTAAAGTATGGAGGGTGAGTGTAGGCCCACACCACTTAAGCCACATGTGACCCATTGTACATCCTCCCGAGGAGTTGTCCTCCTTGGTCATCGTCCATCTTGTCCTTTCCAGGAAGGTGGAGAGGTCGCTGGGAGACATATAAAATTTTTAGCCCAGCCGCTTTTTTGGCTAAAGAGTCGGCAATGCGATTACCTTTACTCCTGTTTTGCCCTTCAACCCACCTCAGGATAATGTTCTTATCTACCGAGGCTTTGGCTAAATCTTAGTGACACTCTAGTACTAGCCCAAAGGTAACGCGTTGTCTGTTCAAGGCTACTAGGGCTTATTAACTATCAGTTTAGATTGTTATGTTTTCGCCAGAAATTCCTTTCCTGGTTATTTCTTTTGTGGCGATTGAGATACCAGCCAGTTCTGGTTGAACCACGCTGGTATTTCCTCCCATTCCCCACTTAATCCTTAGGCTTAGTGATCTGGAGTACACTTCACATCCTGCGTCTTCAAGTGTTGTTGATGTTTACTTGTTCAGTTCAGTTCAATCGGTATGACAATAATGTTTTGGGCTTTGAGGATAAAGAAGGATTACTTCAGAAACCTAAACGATCCTTAAGGAAGCTGAATCTATACACTACACAGAAAATCCCTTTTGAATATTATTTAATAAGGAGAATCTATGGAGAATCTATGTTATTCAAGTTATTATCTAATCTCATAAACGCGAAACAATGAAATATTTTACTTTTCCATAGTTCTTTCCAAAATCAAATCTACTATTCCTCGATTATTTCTCCGGATGGTAGTGTACCTAAAAACTCGTTATTCTTCGATGGAAACAAACTGAGATTATATAAAATAGTCTCATTCCCTCACTCTCTATCTCCCCCTCACTCATTCTCTCTACCTATAGCGCCCAAAATTTTCAACTTTTGTCATCTTAAGTAACTTTTCCAATAAAACTCTTACGAAACATTTTTCATGTTATATCTATCCTTGACAGAAAAAAATGCTTTTCATCGATGAAACTGTCAAAAGAAAGCGTTAGTATAAAAATTTGTATCGATTCAAAACCAGTTGCACTTAAGTTCCCAACTCAACTGGACTATTTTTTCTCTTTCCACAGCCTAACATGTCAATTTTTATATTAAATATCATTGACACTGTTAGTGGCCCACTTTGAAATGACGGTTTAATATCTGACCGTGCTGATTGTATCTTAGACCATGAGAAATGGTTTTTAATTTCGAAACAATGACAAGAAGTGATAGCTTGTTCGTGAAAAGTAATTCCTGAATATTTTTTCAATAATTTGGGGCGTACGTTTATCATTATCTATGCTTAATTCATTGTTATATACGAATCTAATTAGCGATTCGATATAATAATTGTACAGTCGCCAAGGTGAACAGTCTATTGTCGATGGATTTTCCTTTGATTGAATCTTTTATTCCAGTATTTATCGATACGTTATTTGTAGTGCCAAAAAACAGGTTGGTAACAAAAATAATAGTAAAAAGTTGTCAATATCATTATAATTTTCTTAATGAGTTTATTGATTAATGTTGCGTTTTCCTTTGATTTCCTTCTTAAATCGTGAGGTGGTAGAAAAAATTTAAATATCACTGAGAAGATATAGGATTCTTTCTCAAAGAAATTTTCTAGACAAAGGTAGTGAACACCAGATTAAACAGAGCTTGACAGAAATTTTTTCACTCACAGAACTTTGATCAGCCGAAAATCATTGAAAAAACAATGATTCAAGAGTAATTACAGATCTTTGGACAGCTGGAACTTCAGCAGATCGAAAGACTCTTGGCAGCTAAGATTCAAGAGCAGCTTGAGATGCCTGGGTACCTGGAGATCTATACATTAAATTTCTGAATAGCCAGATATTCTTAGGTATTCCAAAGTTATTTCTGCCTGAAGAAGGCAGAGTACTTTGAGTAGCTAAAGTTACTTGGCTAACTGAAGTCCCTTCAGCCAAAGATCACTAAAGAGCCGAAAAACCCTTGAAAACCAAAGATTGTTGGTGCCCAGAGATTGTGGAGCAAACAAATATTTTTGGATGACGGAAGATTTTGAGCAACCTAAGAACATAAGACAATCAAGTGATCCTTGAAGAGACAAATATCTTTGTAAACAAAAGATTTCGTATAAGACAACCAACCAGTTAAACATCATGAGTAACTACTGATTTTGGATAGCTCGAACTGGAGATCTTCAGTAGATCGAAAACTTTTGGCGGCTGAAGATTCAAGAGCAGCTTAAGATGCCTAGACACCAGAAGATCTATGAACAGTCGTGCATTTCTGAACAACCAAATATTCTTAGGTATTCTGAAGTTATTTCTACCTGAAGAAGGCGGATAGCCTGGAGTACCTAAAGTTGCTTGGATAACTGAAGACCCATTAGCCAAAGATCACTGGAGAACCAAAAAACCTTTGAAAACGAAAGATCCTTGGTACCCCGAGATTCTGGGCAGACAAATATTTTTGGATGACAAAACATTTTAAGCAATCAAAGAACATTAGACAACGAAGTGATACTTGAAAAGACGAATATCCTTGGAACCACAAGAGATCCTTGGTCAGTCAAACATCATTAAGGTTCCTTTAAAACTTCTAGACGCCCGTTTAACCAACCAAATTGGCGATGAAGTACTTTATCTCCTGAAGACGTCAACCTAGAACTGTCAAAGACACTTGCATAAGCAGGTCTTTGGATATCCATAGATCCTTGGCAAGCAAATGGCTGAATACATACATTTCGGAGAGTGGCATAAATAATATGACTTACCAGTCTTCTTTTTGGTTTGATTAGAGGTCTGTTCTGTCCGTTCATTTTGTAGTAGAGTCCACAAGCGTTACAGAGGTAGTGCCCAGTGCCATCTCTTCTCCACAATGGTGTGCTGGTAGCTCCACAATTGACACACTCTCTTCCCTCTGAGGAAACAAAGATAGAAACATATGTTAGGTCGGTCTGTGGCTGAGAATCGACTATCGATTGTTATTTTCCTGCAAGCTTCACAAAACATCGAACATGCAGTGATTAGCGTGCTCATATAGAATCAATTTGTCATTTCTGCGGACAGGAATGAAATCAAGTTATGGAATATTCATGATTGATCGTTAGTGGGGAAAATTGGTGACCAAATATAAAAAAAAAAGATTTTAACGTTTTCATTGGTAGGCTCGGATTCTATAAACAGGAAGTGTAATCGACTAGTATTCAGGTGGAAACATTTCAGGGGTTCAAAATAAACACATTTACCGATACTTTCTTTTGATATTTTCGAGCTTCATATTTTTAATGTATAGATGTAGACGAAGTTTATCTTCCTGTAGTTTCTGTGGCATTGTAGATATTAACGAAATGGTTCAGACTTTCACGGCTGAGGTTTTCAGTGTCGTTGCTTTTCGAGTTTGAAAGCCGTGGATTTTTGGAATTTCTGACGTTTCCTCAGGAAGAAATTCCAAAAATCCACGGCTTTCAAACTCGAAAAGCAACGACACTGATTGTAGATATTTTTGAAAAATGCGGAAGACTCACAAGGAAATTAGTATTTTGTGATTAAAATGCTATATCGTAATATCACTGTGACATATGGGGAAGCTTTTGTTGAAACCAGCGGTTTCATAATATGATTCAGGGGTATCCTGTCATATCATTGCTATAATTAAACGAAATTATGCAAAGACAATACCTAAGCATTTCATTTCTATACATCAAACTTTTGTCACATTCTAAGAACACCCTAGTTTATTGATGAAAGGACGCATCCGCATGGTGAGGTATCAGGAATTGATTCCCTGATTTCTTTATAATATAGGTGTAATCTGACAAATAGAAAACTACTTTCATAAGTATCATAAATATAGTATTTTTTCATCTTGGTTTTTAGAAGAATTTAACTGTTTTATTTTATCAGGCAAGTTTTTCCAACTCATCTTTTTTTGAGTTCCAGATGAAATATATGATATAATACAATTTTTCTTTGAAGGTGATTGACAATGTTTCGTGATGAATTTCACTAGTTCGGACTTCCATTGTCTATTATATAAAATGATTTGAAATCCCTGAAACAAGTAAAAAAGAATAATTAAAAAGAATAGTTGAAAATATTTTTACTTGTAGGTTATTTCACTATCATTTCATTTCAGGTTTATTGTTGCTTAATATAATTGTTATTTTCAACTATTCTTTTTAATTATTCTTTTTTACTTATTTCAGGAATTACAAATCATTTTATATAATAGACAATGGAAGTCCGAACTAGTGAAATTAATACAATTTTTATTGACACCAACAAGTATTATCGTATTTAGTTAGACTGAATTCAATCGAATCGGGATTTGCAAAGATTGAAACGTGTCTGTTAGAGATATTAATCTTTGTATGATACAATGATGATAAATAAATTCAACAACTCTGTTTTTTATACCTTCTTTGGGACCTTTTGTTTTTATCGAGATCTCTAAAAAAGTCGACATCTTCAGAAAAAGTTGATAATACGGGAAAAAAATAGTATGGCACTCATACAGCTTAAAAAATGATGATGATAGATAAATTCTCTATTCAGTTCACATGGAAATTAATTTATACAGATTAGGAACAGCACGAAAAAATATTATGAATAAAGGGTAGGTACAAGTTTCTACTGATAAGGGCGCTTATGTATTCAACAAATGATAATATCAAACGATAAACATTTGATATTTACAGCTGAATATGTAACATATGTTTATCATCTTTTTGCTGTTTGTAAGTTGTTCAATTTTGAATTCGTGAAACTAATTTTCTCACAGAGATTTGTAAAAGGCAGTGGATAAAATTTTATTTGCGTTCTATTTCGTCCTGATATTTCCAAAAGACGCTCAAAGCAGTCATACATGATTTGTTTTTAAGTCTAGTATGACTTTTCATCGGTGGTAAAGAATTGGATGGTTCAGATTCAATTTTCAGTTATGTGTATTTACACCCTTACAATGTGAGAATTGTATGAAAGCAAGTATTATACGTATTGAATGGATGATGGACTTGAAGGCTTCTCAAATGTAGGAAGAGCTTTCTAGCTTTCGAAGCTTTCCACTCTCATTCTAAGTAAAGGGAACTCGCCAATTCTGTTTCAGGACTTTGCTGCTGAGCTGAGAATTCGTACTTAAGTTAAATCTATGTGACAGTTACATTTTCCGGATTTGCTGGTCATCATCTGCAGGTCTGCCTGATCGCCTTTCATACTGTCTACCGCAGTTGTAGATGAAACACCGAGCATGAAAACTTGCAGATCACGGTCAACGAACCCGAAAAACAGCTTTGGCACAGTTATTGTCGACCGTAAAAGTTACACCCTTTAACAAAAGTTCATATATTCAATTATAACATGAAAATTGAAGTGTACTCTTGAATGTTTCAGTAATGTAACATGTAATTCCAACGTATTTCGAAGCGGTGTTTACAAGAATCGCCTGAATTGTTCGCTACCGATTACAAAAGAGCGAGTACCTCATGTAAATGTTAATTTCCAATGTTTTCATTCCTGTCCAAGTTGAGTACAAGCGAACCTCGCTTCCTGCATTATCTCTAAATCACTTTGTCACAATAAATCCAGAACTAGAACTGACAATCGTGTGTGGTCCTAGTGCTTGACGCCCGTTAATACCAATTAATTTTATTAATGGCGCTTAATTATGCTAAATCGTTTCGGAATAAAGTCAAATGTGACGTTAATCCGAGAGATAAAGAGAGACCAGACTTTCGATTGTTCGTTCAAGCACAATCATGCATCGGGTGACTGAAAATGTAGGAGAGAACTTCGAAAAAATTGACATGCATTTAACATTCACTATCGGGCGCTTCGTGTGTCAGCGGTATTCTGAGAAAATTCTAGACGTTTCGAAAGTCACCTGAGAAATTATGGATCGGTGAGAACGTCAAAAGATGTCGTTTAAAAGGTTTTATCGATTGTTTTAGAATGTTTGTAATTCCCATTCCCCCCTTCACGTAGACTGACCAATTGGTAATAGTGAGAGAGAGAGAAATATTCTTTATTGTCTGAAGATCGAAACTTCTTATTGACAAAGCGTTTCCTATGCCAGTAGTTTAAAAAATAGAGATATATCAAAACACATATCAGTCAGAAGATAAACCTAAATAATTTCAAACGACACATACAACAAAACAAAAATAATTCCGAAAAAAGGTACCTCATATCAAATGCTACATCAGCCCAGGGTAATTACAGTAACACAAGGAGACTTTAGTATTGCAACTGAATTCAATTTCAAATGTTTCGTTAAAAAAGTCACGAACGCAGTCGTATAGTCTCTGTGTAGAGTTTTCAACGCTTTTTTAAATATTGTTGAGCTTTTAATTTTCCATATCTCCAGTGGTAGATTTCTATATACAGGGTGTTCCTTAAACACATGCTAATATTTAAGGAGGTAATTCTTAGACCCATTTTAAGGAAAAAACGTCCTATGGACGTATGTCCTAAACGCCTTAACTTTTGAGATACAGGGTGGCAAAGTTTTCAAAAATAATCAGTTTTTTAATAATAACTGAGATAATTTTGTAGACATCTTTGGCATATTTGGTACATATGTTCCATGCCGCAAGGCGCATTTTCTGATGTACAATTTTCTTAATTTTCTCTGTCGGTGGCGTACATACGAGTTTTGAAATGTATATTTTTGGCGAAAAAACGCCACTGCTTTATCTTGAATTAAAAATCATTTTTAAAATCTCCATACATTTTTGAGCACATTTGATTTGCTGGGTTTTCTTTGTCCGACGCATGGTTTTCGCTCAAAAAATTAAAAATCGCTTTACTTAATGATAAATTCCTTAAAAATCTGATGCGGTATCGTGCATCGACTGAAAGCAAACTAAGAGATCAGATTTGTTGCAAAATAATTGAGGATCTAAAAGGTATTTGTTTGTTGTCAGATGCACTGTTCTCAATTAAAATTACGTCATAACGCAGCACCGCCTAATTTTTGAAAACATAAATTTAGTTATCCTGGAATAAATGACGTGTAGCAGAATTTATTTACTGCACCTCTTGGAAATATGGAGTTTGTCGATATGTGATTTCTTTTAAAGATTAAAAGCAGAAAAAACAGCGTACCCACCATAGCAATGAAATAACGAATTCTAGGTATGTACAAACGTCAGTAGCTAATATTGATGTTGGTTTGAAGTAAGGTGTTGGTGTTAAAAACTGTCACAGCGCGTTTTGATTGATTTTGAAGTGTTATTGAAGTTATTTTGGTAGTCCGCTGTTTTTCTGAATATCAGTAAATATGGTAAATTATACTAATGCGGAAACGGCGCAAATGCATTACGTATATGGCCTTGCCGATGGTAATGCAACAGAAGCCAGGCGCATTTATCAGGAAAGATATCCTAATCGTGCCTTACCAGATAGCCGAACCTTTTCAAATATTCATCGTCGACTTGGGGAAACTGGAGGGGAAACTTGGAGGACCTCAGCAATGGCCAGCAAGATCCCCCGATCTCAACAGTTTAGATTTTTTTTATGGGGTCACCTTAAAACTCTTGTGTATAAAACTCCCGTTAATACTTTAGAAGATTTAAGAGAGCGAATAGTTGCCTCGTGTGAAACTATACGAAATACGCCAGGAATATTTGAACGGGTGCGTAATTCCATGCGTAGAAGGGCGGAAGCATGCATACTAAGTGCAGGTGGCCACTTCCAACAATTTTTATAATCAGTTTTGGTATTATTACTAATCAACAAATTTGTGCTATTCGTTTAGACTTACTGTCACAAAATAAAATAAAGCTCGTTTTTGTGAAAAATTAATTTTTTTGAAGATTACGTTTTCAAATATTATTAGGGAATTGGTAATGCGTTATGAAGCAATTTTCAGATTCTCATTCATTTTAGAATTGATCTAATTTCTTAATTTGCTTTCTGTCG